ATATATATATATATATATATATATATATATTATACATATATATGGTAGATAATTGAGAGCTTTTCATACATTATTATGATATTTTCTTTTTATATAACTAAGAACCTTATGCTTAATAAGCTGCACGAAAGGAAAATGCTCTACTAATTATAACATACTCTAGGCTTAATAGTCTCACATCCAAATTTATATAATAATAATAATAATAACAATAATAATAATAATAATATAATTTTTTGTAATGCATTTTGTAAGATATCCGGAGCCCAAATCTAAACATATGTATTTATTCAAGGTTTTACAATTCACTAAAATTTCAGCAAAATTTCCTCTATTTTTTTTTTTGAAACTTTTCCACTTATCTTTTTTATAGGTATGTCAACAATTCACAAATAGATACCTAATAAGTAATCTATATCATAACATTCCTCGTACTATATATATCCAACACATAACTAATTAATTAATTGAATCACCATCAGTTGTTAGTTCTCTAAATCAAAAGAGATTTAACAAACATCATCATCAATCATTTATATAATATTATACAATGTAACATAGTGTAAATTATCTCTTAAACATCCTTTAAAATTTATTTTGGATTAATATATGTCGTAGAACATCAATTGTAACTTTATGAAGTAAAATCATAACAAAGTTTTATTGTTTGAAAGGTTTTTGATTCATCCCTTCTATAATATCTTATTTTTAAAGATCAATTTACCGATCAAATAAATTTTTCTTCCAAATATATTTTATAATTTTAACCTTCAATAAGTAATTCAAATAATCTCATCACTAAGTACATCAAACAAAGCCCAACTAAATTCTATGTGGCCAAACATAAGAGCACATCACAATTTAAATATTCAGCAGTCATTTACAAACACAATAAAAAACTTTTATTTTTTAAAAAAATCCAATTTTCCAAAACAATTGTTATAATTTTTAAATCATCAAAACAAGACAAAATCTTCTTTGTTCAAACCAGTTCATATTAGTGGAAGGAGAGAGATAAAACATAACACTTTTAACCACAAGTCTAAACAATAAGTTAAAATTTATTTTTTTCATATTAGTTCATATTTGTGAAAAGATTAGATAAAACAAAACCTATATCACTAAAAGTCAAGACAAAACAAAACATATTCACTACAACATGTACAATAATAATATTTATAATGAGTTAAGCTATAGTGAGATTAACATCTCACATGAAAATAGAGTTTAAAAATAATAGAATTCATATGAATAAAAAAATTAGTTCTTAAAAATTAGTTAACTAATTACAAGTTATCTTAACAACTTATTTTCTTGTTATGAATATAGGAGAACAATTAAACATTAATGGAACTAGGTCATAACTAGGTTAGGTGAGATCAATATAACATCAATATGTTTATTCCATATAAGGATCCAAGTTGAGGACTTCCAAGTCGATTTGATTTAGAGGATGTAACACCCTCTACCCCAACATAATTACAATAGATAT